TTTAATAATTGTTCAATTTAAACTATAAATTTTGTTCCTATTAATCGAATAGAGGTGTAATGTTTTAATTTAGTCCTTGAAATTTTGAAAGTTTCAACTTTATCGATTGATTCAATTAAACGTCTTTTTCAATATAAAATGTAAGATGAAAAATCGAACTCATAAATTTATTTGGTATAAATAGATACTTTAACGTGTTGATTTAGATTTAATTATTGAGAATAAGCTAATATTTTATGCTTATCAAATTGTGTTGGTTGGTTGTATTAGAATTTAAAGATTGAGTAAAGAATGTAAGAAAATAAATGAATTTCTTCCCTAAAATTTACTAAATTTTATGAACTAAATTGAAACTGGGCTTTATTGCAAATTGTATGGACTAAATTGAAAATTGTAAAATACCGACAAAATTTTATAATTCAACATTTACTGTATTTTTTTGTTTTTTTAAACAAACATTTATTTTATTAATATCTAAACTCTTAAAAAGGTTTATTTTAACTCCTAACTATTTTTATCGACTAAAATTTTAAAATATCTATTTTTTCAAAAGGAAAAATAATAATCGGTATTTGTTATATTTTGATAATTAATGTATGTGCACGCAATCCTCGCATCCAATCTACATAGCTTTGATGAATGTCTTTTTTTTTTTAAGTTATGTTTAAAAAAAATCTATGATTATTTTTTAAAGTTGATAGGCTAAATTAGATATTTTAATGATTTTACCACCGAAAACAAATAATAAATTTGCTTGGTTGTATTGTATTATTGTGCACCCAATTTGAGTAGAAACCCATCTGTATAATTGTATTTATACCAAAATCCGTTCCTTCATAATTATTATCAATCATTTTAATTTTCTAAAAAAAATTTTAATTTCTGTAACCAATTATTTCATTCATTTTTCATGATATTCTATGTTGTAAAATAAATATTTAGTTGTTTACTTTAAAAATCACACCATTATTAATCTTATACGTTACAATATAGTAATTTTAAATTAAAGCAAAAATATATGAAATGAATAGAATACACGTTCACATTATATATATATATATATATATATATATATATATATATATATATTTTTTTTTTTACAATAATATTAAATTTTCACATTCATTGGACTTACAGAAAAACCATTTGTTAGTTTTTCACAAGTAATTTAACCAAAAAAAAACCATGTATATATTAGGTCTTCTTTTTTTATATTTAAATTTTGACGGATAATTTTACAATTTGAAAATCTTGTTCCAACTTATTATTTCTATAAATGATAAGATTTAGTAAATTCATCCGTACATTTTAAACACAACATGATCTTAATCCAAATATTTCACTGGACCGTTCAATCTATCAACAATAAGTTGTGCATGCAAAATACAAGTATGTTGTAAACGAAAGTTAAGGATGGATGAGTTTTGAAAGAAAAAAAAAATTTATTAAATAAGCAAAATAAAATTTTACACAAATTTGAAGTATATCAAACTTTGGAGACTTTTTTTCAGAAAAAAAAATGAAATAAAATATGCCATTAAAATTATAGTCTAATAAATAAACTACCATAAAAGGTCGCATCGCAGTAATCAAAATAGTTTTTTAATTTCCAAAAAGGAGTGCGCTAAAATTTAAGCAGATTTGTTATTTTAAATAAATGAATATAAAAATTAAATTTAATGTTGTGACCTCTCCGCCCACGCGACTCG